CATGGCATCACCTCTGACTCCATCTCTGTTCTCGCTGCTTCTCTGGATAGGGTCCTACATTCCACTTATGCTCTTCTCCCTTGATGTTCCTAGGGTCCTCTGTTCCTAAAATGTAAGATTAAGTACTACCCCCTTATGTGATAAAACTTCTACCTTTACAGTTGTGATTGTGGCAATTAGTCATGATAACGATTATCCACTATTGAATCATAAGAATCTTATTCCCATCTCGCTTCACCACACCTATCTAGACAACATGAAAATGATTCAGTGGGGAGTCTACCTTTCCTCACACACTCTGAAACTAAACTCCCTCTTGAAAACTTGTAAATCAGCCACTCTGTACCTTTATAGCCCCCCTCCCAATTTTAGGTAGCCATTCCTATCAACTCTGTGTACAGTGGAGATATGTTTGATCCTTGATATGAATACTCCTTCACTCTCAATGGGTGTTTTGAGCTACTGCATCTGTAAATATAGGTCAAGTTCATAAAATTGCAGCAATTTACACTTGTTTCCTTTATCAACTTTCTTTATCATCCTCCATTCTGGTACTGATCATCAAGCCATCAAAGCTAGGTTAAATGGGTACTATCTTCAAGTTTGGGCTTTTTTTGTGCATCTCCCATTACTTCATATCAGCTGGAAGCTTCTCTCTCAGCTCTAGCTCTCCATGGTTATGTCCTTGTCCATGGGCTTAGGAGACCCCAAGTCTCACCACACTTCAGACCACCCAGCCCTTCCTTTTCTCTCTTTAAATTCCAGGTTGACAGGTGTTTATGGAAAGTGGTTGAATTTAGCCCATAATTTCATTGCTGCCTTTCCCCCACTTCCACTCACCAGTAAACCAACGTGGTCGTCAGCATACTTATATGGCTGCTCATGTGTTCCCTTTGAGTTTCAGTCTTGTAGAATTTTTTTTCCTGAAGAGACTTGATTGCTTGCCTTGATGGCTCCCCGTCTAACAACTTGCTTGTTCATGTAGTAGCCAATCATACTGCCATTTTTGTTTGGGATTTTTCCTGCTGGTCTTTCTTTCAAGAAGTATCTTCTGTTCCTCTAGGGACTCTAGGCTGGTCTACATGTCCTTTCAAGTGGGAATGTCCCACCTCAGAAGGTTCTGGAAGGTGTGGCTCAGGATTCTACCTAAGGTCCTATGCACTACAAAGTCTTGGCAAGAAACCTATTTCACCGGGCAAGTTCTAGAACCCTTTATAAATATTCTAATCAGTTATAGGCTAAAGGTGGGCTTACAAATTTTCTGTAATCATGTTTCTCGATATTCTTTTCTATCCTGCTCAAGTGTCTATTTTGTGATAGTAGGCAAGGGAAACCAATATTCATAAGACAGTCAAGCAACTTAACATTACTTCCCCTCTTTTACCCATTTAGACTATGCCTCAATCTCTGTATCACAGAGCCCTGTTGTTCGAAGGTTGAGTGTACCTCACTAGTTACCGCTTTCTCATTTAGCCCATGCAAACCTAAGTGTTCTCCTACCTTAGTCTTCCATTCCCCTCTCCCTTCTTGTATATGCCCTCGCCAACACCTGAACTATGATGTGTCTATCCCCTAACCTGTTCTCTATACTCCTCTCCCTCCCACGCATGGTAACCAATAAAGAAAAAGGAAATTCTTTCTTTTAGTATGGGTATCTT